CTTCTCTGTCACAAAGTCCACCACTGTCTCTATCAGCAGTTGCAGGTAATTCCTCTGTCTTCTGGATTCTATTATTGCTGTTGAGAAGTGTAGCTCCCATGGTAATTGTTTCTTAGTGATGTTTTCTTTTAGTTCTTAAGAGATTTTTTCCTCCCAACCCTATGTGTTACAAAGTTTCACTATAATGTGACCAAGTGTAGATATTTGTTTATACTGTGTAGGATTCTTAAGCCTTTTAAGTGAGGACTGGGTTTTCCCCCCAGCAATTTTGGAGTGTTCTCAGTCATTATTATTTCAAATATTGCCTCTCATTATAAAGACTGATTAGATGCATCTGGACCTTTTCACTCTCCATACTCATTGTCTAGTTTTGTAAAACCTAAGTGAAGTGTGTGAAAAGAATTGTCTAAATCAATGTACAAGATTAATGTAGAGGATTAATTGTGGTTCACCCATAGAAACACTTGTGAAGTGCCATCGAGTTGATTCCAACCCACAGTGACCCTGTGTAGGGTTTCCAAGGAGCAGCTGGTGAGCTTGAACCATGACCTTCTAGTTCAAACAACTTTGCAGTCTGACTCATTAGTCCACAGCGCCACACCAGGATTCCATAAGAAACGTTTTAACCCAATAAAAGTGATGTAGAAAAAGATGTAATGACATAGAAATTTTTTCATAATACATAAAATTTAAAAAGTTATTATGCATAAGTGACCCATTAAAAAATTTTTTTTTACCTAAGTAAAAGGGCAAATGATATTTACCAGAATGTTAATATTAGCTACATCAGCATCATTAGAGGGATGATTTTTGTATGACCATTTTTTTGCAGAGATGGGGGAAAGGAAGAAAGAGAGTCGATATTTAAATATTCTGTCATGAAAGTTACTTTTTAAATAATGAAGGGAGTGTTCTTAACTTTAAATTAGTCCAACTATCTCCACTAAAGGCTCATTTTGATAAAGTGAATGGCCTGCAATTTCTGGGAAATCACTTTTCCCATATAAATCTGAGTGTCCTTCAGTGATGAGGGTCACTTATCCCCTTTTACTCAAACTGCAGTTGTTGTTGTTGTTAAGTGCCATCGAGTCGGTTCCGACCCATAGCGACCCTGTACAGGGTTTCCAAGGGTGTAAATCTTTACTGGAGTAGAAAGCCTCATCTTTCTCCCGCGGAGCGGCTGGTAGTTTCGAACCGCTGACCTTAAGGTTCGCAGCCCGATTCGTAACCACTACGCTACCAGAGCTCCTTAGTGATTGTTAATACCGAAATAAAAATCCGCAAGTTAATTTTCACCAAGTAGAAAAGATAAGAAAATACAAATTCTCATTTTCAAATGAACCCTGATTTAAAAAGGTATAGTACCAAATTATATACAAAATTACTTTAACTTAGTTTGTTAACAAAGACAGCAAACTGGAAGTTGTAATCTTTTACACATTTCATTACTATTCTACTCTCCATTCACTCACCTGTTCAAAAGTTTGTGCATATAATGATACCTTGATATTGCTTAGGATTTCTGTAACATAAATTCACCTCATGAGACTTTTCAAATTATACAAATTATGTGAGTTTAGATTGCAAATTCTTGTGAAGATTGATTTGGGGTTATGAGTACTAAGTGGAATGTTTACCCTTGTTTTGTTGTTAAGAGCCGTTGAGTGGGTTCTGCCTCAAAGACCCTGTATAGGATTTTTGAGGAGCAGCTGGTGGATTTGATTTGCCAACGTTGGAGTTCAAACTGACCTTGCAGTCCAGTGCATTATCCTACAGCACCACACCAGTACTCCTTTCCACTGTTTACACAGCATCAAAGTAGAGACAGACATTTCTGCTTACGATTCCCTTCTGTTACAGATTTCTACCTTCTACAATGAAGATGTTAGTATTCTTGGTTGCCAGCCTTATGTGCAGATGTCCTGTTCAGTTTCCCATCTTGTCCTTTCTACCTGTTTTGTTGCCAGGATAGAAGCTTAAAATTTTAGAGTTTGGCAGAAATCCATAATTGAAGTTTATTATCCTGTTACATTTCATTTTCTGCTTATATTCATGTGTACTAACTTAGTTATCAGTTTTAAAAGTTAAGAATTTTATTTTTTTTTACTGTTTTGCCCATTATTTTAGTAGTCTGAATTGGAGGAAATCTAATATTCCACATTGTCAGTATTGGAAGGATCTATACCTTACCATTAACATAGTTATAATTAATGTGTATATGTCCAATGTCTTTGTTCTCATCTGTTTACTATTTCTCTGTACACATTACCTTCTATTTATAATGCCCGTATCATTTGAGTAGCTGCATGATTGTAAAAAAAAAAAAAATGGACAAGGGGCATCATCTGGTCTCTGACTTCACTGGGGGAAGATGAACATTCTCAACAGCCCAAGGATAATTCCCATGCTGAAAAGATCAGATGTATTTTCACCCTCCAATCTTCTTTACCAATTTGGCACCAGCCATTTTTCCCACACCACTCTCTACTTCTCTTCTTGTTGTTGTTGTCAGGTGCCATCAAGTCGGAACCGACTCATAGCGACCCCATGCTAGCAGAACAAAACAATGTCCGATCCTGGGCCAACCTCACTACCGCTGCCACACTTGAGTCCATCAATGATGCCACCTGGCCAATCCATCTCGTTA